ATCACTGAAACTTACATTCTGTTCCCTCTACAACTTATATCTAGCATGAAAAGGAAAGGGTTGAAGAACAAAATAACAGAAATGGAATAAAGAATAAGACATTCGTGTTGGCTTGTCTGGGAGTTCTATTCTTGTTAACTCATGCACTATTTTAAATAATGGGGGAATTGAAACAGGTTACTTATACAATAGGACCCTGAATTTGTATCACACTTGTCCTCCCAGAGCTCACTGAAACTCACTTGGAAAGCTTGGCTGGCCCTAAACAAACACTGAATTACTGAAACTGCCAATAAAGCTACAAAATAATTTATTTTACTTATTGTGATTGTACAGATACAGTCTAGAACGTTTTGTTGACATGGTGTGCCTTTCTCTATTAGTCCTTTGCTCTGCTTACTGTCTGAAAACATTGTGCAAGGACAGAGCTGATTGCTCAGTTACTGTCTAGTGAGTTGTATATTTAGCACCTGGCCATCAAGATAGTCTTGATCTTTCTTCAAGGCTGGGCACTGAGATGCCAGAAAGAAGAAAAACATATACCAGCACTCAGGTTCCAGCAGCAGCTAAATTAAACTTAGCTCACAGTTTCCTCAGCAAAATTTATCCCAGTTTTCAGACATCCCAATGAAAACTGCTTCAATAAATCAATGGCCTCAACTGAAAAATCATCAGCTCAAGACACCAAGAAATCAAACTGAACAAGACTGCTGCTCAGCTGACCCTGCTTTGTGGTAAGTATCAGAGATAGTTCTGAGTCACAGTAGGGCCTCAACTCCTTCTGTGTGTTGGGCAATTTGATTTAGCACAGTACCCAAGATTATCTGTAAAAGGTCAAGTCATTCACCTTTGGAGTGCTGCAAGGCAAGTTCAGGAAGGTTCTGCATACTCAAACAGAAAATTAATAGTGCCTGTTGTAAGAAAGATGCAATGATGGATTAATGAATCTTCAATGGAGAGATGCAGAGAAATACCAAAGGAAAAAAGTGTGAAGAGATTTACCTTTCCCTTTATACAAAGAGCCTGCATTTACAGCTGAGTATTTACAGCTAACAATGAGTTAGAATTAAGAGGACAACATTTATTCAGCCAAACTAACCGAAAACACTAATTTTTAAGAGAATTCCAGCTTTTCTTCTATTTAAAATCAGTGCACTAGATATTTGTGCTGACATTTTGGGGCCAGATTAGCTCAAATTTAACATGAAAGTGGTGAGGGTTATAAGTCAAGCAGCATTTCTGGGGATCATCCTGCTGACAATCCCTCTTGAATTATCTACTCCATAACTCTGTTTTCATCCTGTACCAGGAATGTTATGCTAATAATATAGCCCAGGGAAATGATAGGAACAGTCCAAGGAAGTTATCATGTGGAGAGCCTTCTTTTGCATGTTTGAGCAACACTAGAATTGCAACTCACAATTATATTAAACTGTATGCAACAGCTTCACATTTTGATTATTTTGTTAGCTCTTATATGTGGGCAACACTAGGAAGCCCGCAAAATTACTAAGACTGAAAACAGGAATGATGAATCTCTATCTTACAAGAATAAAATTACTAAAGTCACCAAAAATATGATCATCATCTGAGCTGTGTTTGCTACACGTTCCTAAGATTTTCTGCCAAAGAAAATAATTTTGGAGATCCAAAGTATTAGATTGCTTTGGCAGCTTTTTTGCCAGTGCCAGAACACAACCCCAAACAAATCAGACTGTTAACTGGACATATCTAAAGTCCTAATTTTAAAGAAATTCCTCCTAGTCTTTAGGTAGAAGGGAATTGAAAACTGTGAGTTGTTTTGAAAATTGCCCATTTATTTGCCAGTGACAGAAGGAACAAACCACTGAGTCTCCTGCCCCCATACACAGCATGTGCAAAGAACTGGGAAAAACAGAACTGCTAAGCAATCCCAAATGGAACAGCCTCATTTACTGGAGCTGTTTTAGTTTGGGTAAATGACAGTGCAAGTGCAGGCCAGATCTGCACTCCTCTGAATGCCAGTACTTGTCTGAACAGTCACATCAGTGTGGCCACAGAGCCACACAGCCCATCCAAACCAAAGGCACTATCTTCTTCCCAGTTACTTGTTCCTCAGCAGGGGCTCTCAGAAAGACACACTCATCGCTAGTTTATTTCTGAACTCAGAACCCCTTCAGCTGGGCAGAGAGTGAGATGAGATGTCAAAGCATTATTCCAAGAGAAAGCTCATTCATGCTTTGTGCTGCAATGTCTGTACTTTACTTGATAACTTCCCTAATATCATCATTGGTGAGGAGCCACTCTGTACCTGAGGAGGCCAGCATTGTTGGGTAGCAGTCATTCTTTTAAATTTCCATCCCTGGTTGTTGCACCTTCAGTTTAAAATTACTGCAAATAAACTGTGCAGACAGCTTAGTAAATAAACCTCATGAAACCATACTGCAGAAATTTATGGAAAATGAGGGGCCTTTTTACAAGAAAAACAATGTTTCTGAGATTGATCTGAGGCTGAACAGCTGACAAAACAGTTTGGAAGGTCAGATAGTGATTAGCAGAAAGGATAAAAGACCAGGAGAAAGACTTTCAGAAAATTAGCCCTTGACAGAACTATCTGAATTCTCCAGTGAAGGAAATTGACCAGGCTGGAAGGAAACTCATGGGTCAAAAGCAAATCACACAGAGTGAGTCACTGAGGAAAACAGACAGCTAAATCTATCAGTAAGCTACTTTCCAGAAAGCAAATAGGATTGTTTGCACAAGATGGCCCAGCCAGTGCAGTCTCAGTGCTCAGCTTTCCATAAGTGATGACCCGGATGGTTTTTCAGGGAACTATTCCAAGGCCATATTTCTGAAACATCACTTAAAATATGTGTTTTATATGGCCACTAGTGCTTTCTAGAAAAATGGGACAGAGATTTTGTCCCTCCAAATGGCAGGCACAAGTTTCTGGGAACAAGCCTGCAGGGTCTTTCAGAGTGCTGAGCAGGCAGAGCTCCCATACTCTCAATTTCCCCAGCCCTGAGTAACGCATGGAGAAATATACAAGCTTGTGTGTTTCATTCTGTTTCAAACAAAAACAAAAGTCTGAAGCAAAACTGGTCCACCACTCATCAGAATAGGATAATTAGCCACTTCCCAGTCATCCTTGCTGGTACTTTTACCAGGGAGCAGAAAATCAGGTTCTTGAAGGCCTTGGAAAGGCCAGGTATAAGTCCTTAAATCTAAATAAGATTTTTTCTATCACACATAGAATGGGATAATCTAACAGAACATCAAGAAATAAACATAATTTCCCACCATCTGGATCATGTTTTCCAGCCTAAATCACCAAATATGCTACTTTATGAGGTTGCTCACCTCATCACAAGATGAAAAATGTTTCCATTGGGGATTTAAGCCAACTTGTCAGTGGAATATTTTTGCAACTGCTATTAAGTCACAATCCATATAAATATGAATTTTGGCCAAAGATAAATATAGAAATAATTTAGATCAATTTCTCCTGGCCTTGTCTACGCATCCAGTACATTGGACTTGAAATGTAAGGAGACTTGAGGTTCCATAAGACGAGAAACACTAAACCTGAACTGCGACCCTTTAAGCGGGCAGGAGCTGAGAAGTTTCTCAGACGGGCTGCGTATTTCAGCGATTCCACGCCGCGTTTATCGCGGCCCTCTCGGCCCCTCGGCGCGGGCTTTGGCCCCGGTGCCGCCCGCGCCGCCGCCCTGTCCCTGGTGCTGACCGGGCACGGCCGCTCCGCTGCGGAGCCAGCGCGGGGAACAGGCTTTTCTTTTTTTTTAAATTTTGAACAAACTCATAAAGCAGTGGCTCTGTCATTGCACTGAGAAAACAGCTGACTTTCTGCAGGCTACTTTGGGGAGTATAACATTAAAAGCCAAAAAACAAACCAAACAGAACTGCTGAATAGAGGGATGTATGGAGCGGGCTGCCTGGTCCTTGACAGCACTCGGCAGGACCATGTGGAGGCCACCACAAGGCTCAATCTCTTAAATCATCTCAGCATCAGTATCTATCCTGGTGGGCAATTAAATTGTTCGTTCTGCATTTATTGTCTTCCAAACCCTTTGTCTTCTCTCGGGACATCGTTTTAACTTTTTCATTTAACTAAAACGACCATTGCTGATCAGCAGCAGTGAATCAGCGGGGGAAAACAACCTCGCCCGCACTTTTTCTAGGGGTCAGTGAAT